TACTAAAAAAAAAATTCTATTAAAAAATTTAACTGAATTTGCCCGGTGCTTATCTCTATCTTGTGAGTTAAATTATTGAGGTTTACAGTTAAGTCAGAACAAAATCTAAACCAGGCTTGAAAACAATAATCCTCCTATCCAAACGCATCTCTTCTTCAATAATCCCGCGCTTATTCGAAGACGAACCAAATCAAAAGCTAACTCTCCATCGTCAGCGACTCTTTCTCAAATTGGCTCTTTCAAATTTCCACCAATGTCTAATCCAATCATCCTCTCCGACGACGAAGAAGACAACCAGAAGACTCCCTTGCCATCTCTCTCCAAAAAACCCAGAATCGCACCAGACCCTTTCCCTACTATCTTCGTGCTTGATGATGATCCGACCCCTCAGAAACCCAAGTCTGTTTCCTCCACTCCCTCTTTCGTTGCCGAGACTCCAATGTCCGATCTCTCTATAGTTAAATGCACAATTGCTCCTTCAAATCTCCAAACCACAGTTTCCGATTGTGATAAAAAACTCTCAGGTTAATGGTCACATTTTCTTTTGCCTTTTTTCTTCTTTGCTTATTCATTTGCAGCTGATTTTGATGTGTTTTGGTGATTCTCATTTGTTTATGATGATTGCTTGTTTTTAATTTGGGAGCTCGGTTAAATGACTGGAATTGATGTTTATTGGTTCCAAAATTAGGGTTTCAAGCTGCAAAAAAGAGTTCGTTTGACCCTTTTTGGTTAAAAAGGGTTCAGTTTATCTGCAAAATTCTGTTAAATTCTGACCATAAGTTCATTAGTTATGCTATTGGTAGCTCAATTGTTTACAGTTACGCTGTTGGATTTAGTAATTTATGATTTGTTCTGCATTTTTCATCACTTAGGATAAGATTTCAGCCAATATATTGAAAATGAGATGCAGTCGAAGTATATATGTAGGGAAGAGAAATACTTCGTATCTGGAGGCACTTATTGATGGTTGAGTGTTTTGATTACTATTAACTATGTTATACTTTTAGGTTAGCTGATAGTTATTATTCTTTGGTGGTTCTTTAGCTGAAAGACTAACTAAGTGGCCACTAACTTCCTTAGATCATGATTTTTTTTGAGATATAAACATATTAAGTGGTTAATGCTAGCTGACATACTACTTGTCGTCATTATGCTTATGTTAGTTTAATTGTCCTGCTTGGAATTCCCCAGTTACCCAGTGTTTCTGTCTTTAGATTTATGCACTATTACAATAGGTTCAGAATGCTCACAATTTTTGGCAGTGGCTTGCTGTAGTTGTTTCTCTCCATATTTTTAGCACACATAAGCACTGATGGTTGTATAATTTTCCTTGTAATGAATCAGATTCTATTTTGTTTGTCATGAGTTTATGTTATTTATAGTCAATTTAATAGGTTTGCCTTGAAATAGGTCTCTAATTGAAATACTATGTTGATCTGTTTTCAGTTATAATACTTGTATTCAGCATATTACTTTGATTGTTTTTTGGTTTTGACAATTCTGTGCTTGATACAAATTGGTGCAATATTGAATCATTATTACTCGGAATTAACAGGCTTCTTTCTTAAAAAAAAAAGGCATTAACAGGTTGATATGTTTGGAATCTGAAAATGATGAATCTGAAAGTAGCTTAGTAATGGAAAGTTTGAAGAAGAAGAAAACAATGGATAATCATGACGATGAGATCGATAAGATGGGATGCAGTTCTAGATTCTTCAGTTTGATGGATTCACTTGGTATGCTAATGATGTCTCTAGACAATTTTCTTTTTTTTTTTTTGAGATTTTTTTGATGCCCAGAAAATCTCATGTGTTATAATTTGTAAATTCAAAAGAAAGCTGTTCCAATAGTTGGGATCATTTTCTTCTCTATGAACTAATTATCAAGAATATGGTTATCAGGTGACGCTACTCTAAACCAAATGTCAGGGGACAATTCTTCCCATGAAATTTTCTCGCAAGATGTTAATCAGGTAATTCTTCATGAGAATAATTCTACCAACATTATAAGTTTCATTTTGGATGGTTTGATCTTGAACTTTGAGAATGATTGGGTCTTACTTTCTTATATGAGTTTACGCTAGAAAATAAACTGGAAAGTGTGATATCTGAAAAAAAGAGAAACTGGGATTATGATAAAAGAAAAAGAATAACTTTAGATTTGCATGCCTTTGCTCACTGATATTTTATTTTCCTCGTTCCTTGTTTTGATAGAAGGAACTAGATAAGAATGTGGCAGTCCATCAATGACTTTATGAGTTTAGCATATCCATCTAAGTTGAAACAAGGAAAAATTTTCATTGGATATTTTGAAATTTATACAATACTTATAATGCTTTATTTTGTAAACAATGAATACTTTTAAATATTTGAAACTTTAGTTTCATATGGAGATTGTCTGGGGTGACTCTCAAGTCTGATCCTTTATATGATGCTAATAAGACATTCATTGTAAAACCCGAGGAATTTTAGTCCTCAAAATTTAGAATTTTCTTAAATTTTTATTTTTTCCAAGCCACTTCATATCAAATTTAGATTAGATTTTAATTCCTTTGATCATGAAGATCCTACTAGTTACTATTTTTATGGCACCATGCACAATCCAGGTGGTTGCATTGCAATTTTAAAATCTCAATCCGCTGCTTTGTTGAAATATTCAGAATTGTGCACTGTGCGTGTCTTTGAAGCATCCCAAGCTCCCTAAAAAGGCATCTTTTTGCTACTGTTTCAATTTGGTCAACATAGTTATTCCCTCTTGGTTATCCTATTTGGATTTGTATAAACATGATTCCACTCAACTTAATTAAACCTTAGTTCTGAGCTTGTTGGGATTGACACAGTAATATAAAATTCAGGTGTCCATGAAGGCATGGGGGATAAATAGCTGCCATGTATTACTTGTGTATCTATTGTGGTGGCGAATATATATAAATGGTCTAAAATGAAGAAAAAATGATGGAAATGTGCATGTAAGTATATAGTCTTGGAAAGATGAAATGCTATTTTGTTTCAGTGTTAGGTTTATGGAGAGGAAATATGTGGCATCATTCTATGTGCAGAAATTTCCAATGTTTTATTTTAAAATTTAAAAAATAGCTGCCAGTTGCATACTGATGAATTTTAAATATTAAAAACTTATGGATTTTACTGAAGCTATATTTTTTGTTAGTTATGTTTTACTTTATGAAAATAATTAAAATAAAAATTCCATACCTCTATTGATGCTTATGTTCTCACAAAATAAATAAAAAGCAAGGTTATTTTTGGCTGTGGCTACAGGCTAATAATTGATAGACACTTGTTTTACAAAAATTTTTCCCTCACATTTGTATGGAAATCTGAGAAATGTTATATGTCCAGATTACAAAATCGAAAAAGTTGACAACCAGAATTTTGACCTAATGAGATGAGGCCCGCAAATGAGAGAAGAAAATACAATTGACATTCATGCTCTCTCCTCTTCTTTCTCTCTGCTAAACTGAAAATTTTTTCTATTGAAAAGGTTATGCCCAATGTTCCCGCTTCTCATGCCACTAAATCAAAACAATCAAAGATGATATGATCTCTTTGGTTTAAGTGATTAGAGGATAATATTTCATTTATATTGAAGAAAATTGTTTTACATTTAAACTTTTATGGGACATCAACTAAAATAGTAATTATCCTAGCTTCATTGATCAAAGTGCCTTGTGATTTTTTTTTCTTCCTTGCATCTAATGACTTTATTCCTGCAGTTGGAGAGAATGACCTAGAAGGAAAAAGTTTTAGCGAGCAAAAGAGAGGGGAGAGAGAGGAGCTTTTCTTTGAGTCTCCGAATAAGAGTTTGTGAGTTGCATTTTAGTCATTCAATCTCAAGGGTGGGCCTTAATAGGATTTCATTATTTCATTGATTTTCAAGTTTTCATAGATGATTTCATTAGGGTAAATTTGGTGTACATTTATCTATGGATTATTAGGCTATGGCCACAGCCATTTTGGTTGTGTCAATGGCCTTGCTCATTTGTAAGACCTTACTGGTGGCACAAGATCTGTTCTTATTCAAAGCATGCTGTATTTTCTTTTTTTTTTTTTCAGAGACTTATGAACTTTGCTTCTTAATAGATATTTGTTATTGTCCTCAACCCAGTACTTGACCATTGAATCCACTTCTTGGTTAAACACATTGACTCAGGCAAATGATACTGAAGAAGAAAATTTTAGCATGGAACAGATGAGTAGCATAGTAAAAGAGAAAATAACTAACGTAAATTCTGACAAGAAAAGTAGTACAGACAAAACAAAGGCAAAGAAGAAGATGACAAAAGAGGAAAGGATGACAAAAGAGGAAAGGATTCTCTTAATGGAAGAAAAAAAGCTAAAGAAACAAGTAAGTACTTTACTGATGTTAATGAACTTTTAGCAGTATGCTAATTTTATGTATAATCAGTTATTAGATACTATTTTACAGCAAGAGAAATTGGAAAAAGCAGCTCTGAAGGCTCAAGCTGTAGAGTTGAAAAAAATGGAGAAGGAAAAGCAAAAGTGGGAGAAAGGGAAGTTTGCCCTAAAATCCATTGTTGCTGAATTTGATACTAAAGTAGTTGAACAGGGATCTGTTGGAGGTGATGATTTTTCTGACTATTTTCCCTCTTCTTTTTCAGCAGATTCCTCATTCTAATAACTGGTTCTTGCTTATTTCCACTTTATTGGTACAGGGCATCTGCTTTCCAGGTTTGCTGATAAAGGCCTTAAATATCGGATAACATCAAATATAATTGAAAAATCTATTGTGTGGACCATGAGTGTTCCAGAAAATATTTTGCAGGTAATTAATTCTTGGCTGATTTAGTAATACAAGACAATTCATAAGGTTGCAGAAAATTATGGTATTTTGTCAGTTTTCTATGAAGTTGAAAGGAGTTGTAGTGTTATAGGGCTGCTGGACTTAGGGTAGTTTTACTGCTATTTACGGTGTTTTTATTTAGTTATTCAGTGTTTATCATGTTATTATCAGTTTCTTTGTTAAATCTTATTGTGTGGACCATGAGTGTGTTCAGAAAATATTTGCAGGTATTAATTCTTGGCTGATTTAGTATAAACTAAACAATTCGATAAGGTTGCAGAATTATGGATTTTGGTCCAGTTTTTCTAATGAAGTTTGAAAAGAGTTGTTAGTTTATAAGGGCTTGGGCTGGACTTAAGTGTAGTTTTACTGCTATTTTAACGGTGTTTTATTTGTTTATTCAGTGTTTAATCATGTTATCTATCAGTTTCCTTTGTATAAAATGGGTATTAGTGGGGTGGTTAAGCAAGTTATTTATCGTAATGGGTAGGTTATTAGGGGTAGTGGGTAGTTTTAGAGCTTTGCATTTTAGTTGTTAAAAGGTTGTTATTATCATGAAAATGTAAAAGCAGAATTTTATGAAAATGTTTGAGTTCCTAAAACTCCAAAGATTGGTAGAGTCTCTCTTACGAGCTCTAGGAGATTGGCAGGATTCTCTCTAAGAAGTCTGGTCACCACTGATAGAGAAGGAAGAAAACTCCCTTCTAAATATGAAAATGTTTTGAGTTCCTAAAACTCAAAGATTGTAGAGTTCTCTCTTAACGAGCTCTAGGAGATTGCAGATTCTCTCTAAGTCTGTCACCATTGATAGAAGGAAGAAAACTCCTTTTAAGATAGTCATCAAACCTGATCCCCTAATTCAAAGACCCATAACTAGATCCAAATTTGGGACCATAACATGTAGCTTCAAATTGTTGTTATGAGATACCATTTAAGGCTGCCTATTTCCTGTTATGCTGTTTTAGAATATACAAATCTTTTTTGCAGCTTTCTCCTGAAGGAACTGAGGTACGATATGTGTTACTTGTCTATGAGGCTGAGGAATTCTGCAATCTTGTTATCAATGAATCACTTCTTGATCATGTTTCTAGAGTTCAAAGTTACTATCCATCTTATACAGTCTGCTATGTCACAAATAGGTTGATGGCCTATATCAATAAAAGGTGAAGTTTTGACAAGTCTATTCTTATATGAAGTTTTAACTATTTTTGCCTTATTGTGCTGGATAATTCTCTGTTTTACAACTTTATGCTATGTGGCTTCTGCTAAGATTATGCTTTTGCTGGCTAAGATTCAATCCTGGTTTCCATTATTTTTGTTTGTAACTTATAACAATAATGAGAAAGTTGATTTGATGCTCAAAGATTTTGTTGGAAAAGAAGTAACAATAAGAGATTTGAGAATTACTAGTTCACAAATGAGTTTATTCTGGGAAATATTTATTTGATATGAGGCTAGTTCTCAAATAATTTTATGAAGTTATTGGAAGTTAATACATGTTATGGCCAAATTCTTTGGATTATAAAAAAAGAAATGCCATAACATGTTGCTTTTGAATCTATTCTAACTTGAGGACATCTCTAGTCTAACTAAAGGGTGCTAATGCAGGAATATAATTTTCTTGGGGGATATTTGTACTTCCCATCTTACTGACATGGCCAAAATTACAGCTGTCGATTCAATTTTATGGCCTTTGTGTGTGTTGACATTCTATTTTATTTCTTCCCTCTCTCTCTCTTTTTCGTACTTGTGAAATATCAAACTTCCTTATCATCCATAATAGTTAGTTATCAGAGCAAAATAAGTTGTTTGTCTAATTAGATTGATAAAGGATTCAGTTTTTGTATTTGGAAGCTGTTGACTGACACTTGACTTCAGTAGTTCATCAATAAAGAAAAAGGTGCTTTTGTGATTGCATCTGCTTTGTACATGTGTGTGTGTATAGTTTACATGCACATAGTAAAATGTTCATTCTGGTGGCAGTGCATTTGTACCTTAGTTTTTGCAGATGCCTGCTTGTTGAAGGTTTTCCTTTTCCTACGGGAACGTTCCAACAAAAGCAGGCACTATCAAAATTTAATGTGGTCTATTTGTGAACTACTCTCTATATTTTCGAATATGTTTGCTTATCTGATATATTTGTAACTATCTTATAGAACCTGACAATTTAAATTTATATGGAGGTTTTTCTCTATAAATGCCTTCGCTATTCTTTTGTTGCATCTGTACTTGAATTGTACTGCTTCATTAACACATCCGGCATTGTAATGTTTAGGGAAAAGGAACAGTACAAGAACCCAGAAAATAATAATGCTTGGAGACGTCCGCCAATTGAAGAGGTCAAACCACTGGCTTAAAATTATAGGATACTAGAGCTTTCTATATGTCAGTCTGCAGATTTTTTTATGGATCGATTGTGATGGTTTGTATCTGATTTTTTTTCCTACAGGTCCTGACGAAATTGACCACTTGTTTTGTCAGGGTACATTATAGGCATTGTATAGATGAAGCTGAACTTGCTGAACATATTGTTGGTTTAACATGCAGCCTGGCATCTTGCCAATTTAGGTTCTGAATATTTCTATTTTCACTGTCCTATCACTAGCTCAAATACTTAATAGATAATATCTGATTCATCCATTTTATGCTTCATAAATATCTGTCTCCCACATGATCGTTTCCATTTTGCTGACCAATTATCTAATTCTATGTTATGCTTCTCTTTAATTGCAGAAAAAAGTTAACACGACTGTCTGTAAATGCTAATGGGTCCCTTATCCCTAAGGCTTCCATTGACAAGAATTTAATAAAAAAGAGTCCCTGGTGAGCAATAGTACTCTTAATTATATTGTTGCAACCTATTCATAGATGGCACTTTAATTTACAAAAATAATATTATAAATCTTAACATGATGTGCATATAGCTCATATGTGCTATATTGGTGATGCTTACTGAAAACTAATTCATCTGTCTGAGAAGCATTAAATATTTATACCAAAATAGAATGGAAAGAAAAATGATATATATTGATATAAGAAGATATATATATAAATAAAATATATAAGCAGAGAAGAGAGAGAGAGAGAGAGAGAGAGAGGCTAGTATTATTAAGAATATGAAAAGATTAATCACCCTTGCATATGGATGACTAGTAGAAATATGTGAAAACAGACATAGAATGGATGAAAGGTTGAAAACCTAAATATGGGGAGTAGAGAGAATCTTAGGAGAGGCCAGAATGGATGATCATTATCTAGTTACATGTATCTCGGATTCCAATAAGCATATCAAAGCCAACATTAGCTCCTATATATGGAACTCTATCTAAGAAATGTCAAATGTGATATAATCCGGACTAAATCTTTATATTTGCTTTTCATTTGTTTTCATTTAGCCTCTGCCTATGTGTTCATGATTTTGCTTTCTAAGTTCAGGTTAAAAGCATTGGTTGCTATACCAAAGGTGCAGCCACGATTTGCCATTGCTATATGGAAGAAATATCCTACCATGAAATCTCTTTTGCAAGTTTACATGGACCCTAGTAAATCGGTAAGGACAAGCAAAATATAACTCATATTTTTTGTTTGATGCTGACTTATAAGATCTGCCCTTAATTTAATGTCACCCCATTTTTAATGGTCTTTATGTTACAACATTTCGACATGTGTGGCTCTTTGCCATTGAGGTGCATCTTACCATCTTGGGAGCTGAAATGGCTTCTTTGGAAAATATGCAGAACTGAAAATCCAAGTCTTCGATTCAGTTAAGAAAATCTCGGTAGAAAACAAATTGATACATTACACGCTGCAGTTTTCCCAGTATGAAAATATCCAATGTCAATCAAAATGGAGCATTTCATTTTTCATGGAACGTCCAATTGTCCTTTTTCATGTCAATTTCCATGAGATATAGAACATTGTTAAAATATTTTCCTTTTGATGCTTTCATATAAGGAGAGAAGCCATAAAATTGTGAAGACGGAGGTTAAATTTTTATGATGATCACTGTACATTCTGTTTGAAGTTCAAGTTAACTTTTTCAAAGAAGATTATGTTCATTTAATGTTTCTTGAAGTTTGAGGAGGTCTAGATTGATGATGATTGATAGGTTCAAATATCAACTATAGTAATCCGGTATATTTTAAGACTCAGATGACATCCTGTTGAAAATGTTATAAGAAGGGCAAAATGAACCCTGCTGTGATTCAATTTAGAGAAGATATTTTCATAATATCTGATATTTATTCCCAGTGTGAAGAATATGTAAAGTTGTCCCCATTGTATGAAGCTCCCCAGTTATACAAGAATAAAGTGAGGGTTGTCTATTTCTTGCAGTTTTCTCTTGGTTTGTCTCTCTGACAAAGATAACATATATATGTATTGTCTCTCCCATCAAATAACAGGTGCATGAAAAGGAATTTCTGCTTGAGGACTTGACAACAGAAGGTTTACTTGGTAGTGACAGAAAAGTAGGTCGGATTTGTTCTAAGCGAGTATACAGAATACTTACGGCTCAAAGTGGAAGCATCAAAACTGATGATGTTGAGGATGGTGCTGATTTTTTCAGGCATCAATCATCCTAAATAACTTGGGAAATGTAATTCTTGCAGATCAGAACAGGAGATTGTACATGTTAATTTCAACTTTGTCATTACTAATTATTTCCTGCCAATGCTTACTTTGCAAGGACAGCTGATTTGTTCCATACACTTCAAGATAGCACCGACGCTGTTGAAGTTCTATCTGGAATTCACTCCTCTCAAGTGGCATTAGAAATTTGATCTGTATTTCCAAAACCATAAGCATCGTGATCAATAGGTACGTTGACTAACTGATATGAATCAAATCAATTGCTAGTGTACAATAGATCGTATCAAGATTTTATTTTTCTTTTTCCATTATTATGAGTTTGGAGAGATCTTCAAATGCAAGCAAAGGATGTGGCCACTAAAAGAATCCTTGCAATATTTATGCAAACAAGAAGATCATTCCCTGCTTGCGCTTGTAGTGGCAGAGGCATACACAGAGAAATTATCCAGTGGTTTTTGACTAGCTATACTAAACCAGTCTAGTATCTGCATCACTTACACTGTTGCTCCTAAATTTCAACAATTGTGCCTTGTGACATCTCGTCATTATGGGTTTCCTATGGATCTCTATCCTATCTCTCCATCCGCCTCTGGATGTTGTGAGGATTAATTTCTTTCGCTTAGAGTGAGACGGTAGCAACAATGATTACTTTTAGTATGATTGGAGGATTAATCTTAACAACTTGATTAGCAACCCTGTTGCCAGGGTCAGATGCCCCTAGTGCCCATTAGTGGATAGCTGCTGCTGCATCAACAATTAGCAGCAGTTCTGGAGTTATAACCTTTGTTAAGCTGTTGGTGGATTTTCTTTTTACTTTTTCTCTTTATTACCTCAGGCTTTTCTATTAAAAAAATCATGTAGATTTTCATCAAAAAATTTATTTTTATCAACTCGAGAATTTTTTGCTTCCCACGTTAATGCAATGCAATTGGCATTGAGTTTACTAGTTTTGCAAATCATTGTTTGGATGAAATTAGTTTTTTTTTTTTCTTTTTTTAGTTTTCTTTTTTCTTAACACGATTTGCCACAAATGGTCATAGAATTTTTGAAAAGATGAAAACCTATTTTTCTTTCTAAGAAATAAATCAAAACGCGATATTGAAAAATGGCTCTAAACTTAATTCCAAACGGAATTTTTCTTCAATCTCGGCAAAAACTTGTGGTGCGTCCAATTTCTCAATTTTTATTTTGGTTCAATTAGACTGAATGTTCAAAGTATTCAAGTTGGATTCGACTCAATTTGATTATCATTTTTAGAAGTTTAAACAAATTTATATGGATGCTCAAAATATTTAAATGTGACTATGACTGAATTTGATTATTGTTATTTTAAGCAAACGTAATTTTTTTTATGTTAAAAAAAATTCAAACAAACTTGAATATCAACTTTTAGTTGAAGCTAACTCGACCAAAACCAAGTTGAATTTGAATATTTGTGAGTAGCACAAATAACTCACAATTGACTTTGACTGGCATCTACCCTACTGGGAACTGAGGGACTTTCTATAACTTCCCGTTTTGAGTGACTTGTGGAAAGTGGTGGTGTTTTTTTTTATAAAGGTGCCAGATTATAGAGTTATCAATGTTTTATAATAGTTCTTAATAATACGTAAATAGTTTTTTTTTTTTTTTCTTTTAAGATCGTCGATTACAAAATAATATCTCCAATTGCCAATAGTTTATAATACTTTTAATATTTTGTACAAAATGATTGTTTCTACAAAAGTAAGTGGTTTACAAAATAATAGTTCTAATTATCAATGTATTATAATATTTTCAAATTTCGTAGAAGATGGTTTTTTTTTTTTATAAAAGTTTTCAAATTACAAAATAATAGCTCATTTTCTCTATAATTATTTTGTAATATTTTATAAAATGTTACTTTTGTTTATTTTGTAAAAAAGTTGTATATAAAATAACAGGTTTAATTTCTAATTTTTTTTTTTTTTTTTTTTTTTGTCCACGTGGTTTTGATTTCGATTAAATTATAATGCTGGTTTTCCACGTGTCCTTTGTTAGCTTTTTATGTTAATTTTATCACAACAATCGGTTCGACAAGCTGTTTCAATCCAATTTCGATCTCATTAGTTGGGAGGCAAAATCAAAATTAGCTGGTGAGCCAATGATTTTGATCTGATTCAAAACTAAGATTATCGAACCAATTCCAAGTTGATATTTTGTTAGATCAGTTCTGGTCTGAATCGAACCGATAGCAAGCTCTAACCAGTAGGGCCCTCCAGCACGACATCCAAGAGAAAGCCAATTGAAACAGAGTGAAAGTGGTGTAACATCAATAAATCTTGTCTATGGATAGATAGGTACAGCCACCATTTACGGGTTGTCTGATATCCATCGCCACCGCTAGTATTGGTTTCGCGTGCCAAAACGCATTCCAGCCCTTTTAATTTCATTGAACTTTTAAATTGTTATTCTCTTTATTTTAAAATATAAATCATATATAAATTAAGAAATATTTTTTAAATTATAAAACATAAAAATATATATATAAATCCAAGAAATTAAAATTAATAGTAAAAAGTAAAAATTTTAGATGTAATCACTTATTAGTCCAATGGAACAAACTATAAATACACAATTGAAAAGATAAGAAAATTTCACTAAATAAAAGATATTAATTTACTTATTATAAATAAATAAATAAACCGCTCAGTACAGTTTCCACTTGGCAGAGAGATGCTTTAGGTTTCAAAATTTGAGCATAAATAATGCATATGGCCCTCCATAGACTATTGTCTCCCCATCACCACACAAACATTTTTTTTTCCCACCAATCAAACACCCATTTAGTACTATAGAAAAGAAGTTGGCAATTCAATTTCTTCATTTAAAAAGAAAAATTTATCAAATTCAAGCACACCTCACGAACGTGCAAATATTAAACATTTTGCATGTAATCCCCATTCTTTTGTTTTCTTGCACTATATAATACAATTTAAGGCCTTATTTCCTCTGTGTATATGCTTTTAATTCGATTATGGAGAAGAGCAAATCATTCTCCAGCTACCCTAATGCCTACTCAGAAATCCGGCTAGGGTTCGAGGACCGGTCTAAATCATATAGTTTTAATGGTCCGGTGAGCGGTAAGATGGATGAGCTAGCACCTTCAACCAATCCAGAGCTTAAGAGGAGAAAGAGAGTTGCTCAATATAATATGTACAGCGTGGAAGGTAAGCTCAAATCATCTTTGAGAAGTAGCTTCAAGTGGATCAAGAGCAAATTTGTTGAGGATTATTCTGATGTATGATATATATATTTATGTATAATTTGTTCTGGGTGCTATATATGTAAAATCTGATGCTTGTTGTGTGGTGATGTTTTTGAAAGTTGTGTATAAGAAAGAATCATGATTTAAGTTCTTGGATTTGTAATTATGATATTATTGTTTCCATTTTTTCGATGATGAAAATTGTTTCAATATACATGTAAAGTTATATTATCCTGCAAGAAATCATGAGATTAATTTCAATCTGAAACTTAAATATTATCCTTACACAGAATTTATGGTGTTAGAAGGCAAGACATAGGTGTTATTAGTTGCGGTTCCGACTCAAAAGATTAGATAAGAGTGGTCGATCGGTTCATTTGAGCAATGGTTTTCGGTTCAAGTGCATTGGTAGTTGAGAGCTGGAGGATGAAACCAGGACTTGAACTTATCCCTATGGTTTCAGTTCTAGTCTTGGTTCAATCGGTTTCAAACTAGCCTTAGTCCCAATTCAAAGTTAATGCTAATTTTAGTTCAATCTATCTTCCTTTAATAAATACAATAAGGACAGTGAAATACTGTTTCGATAAAAACTCTTATAGTCCAGAAGCTAAAACTTATAGTCCAGAAGCTAAAAATTGATTATTTGAATTGAAAACTCTCGAGGGTCCAGTTTAATTGAAAATATGTTACTATAATTAAAAAGACAACAAATAATTGATCAAGTGGATTTTAGATTAATATTTAAAAATTTCATTAAATAAAGTAGCGGTATATTGTAAGAAAGATTTTTGTTTGTTTGTTTTGGCTGACAAACAATGATAGATACCAACTTATTGGTTTCTTCTGGTCCCCATCCTTATCTAATACCAATAATTATTAAGCCTAATTATGATTTTTTAGAAAAAAAAATTTATTTTAACACTTGACAATGACCAGAAATGCCTCCACCATGATCCTATGTTCTTATATCATCACACCTTGGTTTTAGCCACAAGTTCCTTTTTCTTTTAAGAAAATTAAATTAAAAAAAATAAAAGAGAGAACATATATATATGTCTGCACCTAATTGATGCCCTTTCGTAGTGGCCTTCCTTCTATTTTCAACCTAATCCATAATGATAAATACATAGAGATCGAGGTTTTCCATCTGCTTCTGCCATTCCTTATCTTGTGGCTCCTTTTTAAGTTCAATTTCAAATCATGAACTTTATGTAGAGAGAGAGAGAGAGAGAGTCAAATGCATAAATTAATATTTATATTTTATCTAAAAAACTATGTGTCTCCTTAAATATTTAATTTGATCCATTGAATATTTTAATTTATAAAATTATACCTATTGAATATTTTTAATTTGCAAAATTTTTCTACTAAAAATTTCAACTTGTAAAGTTAGATTGATTGAATACTTATTGGACAGTAAAAATATAAAAATTATTATTTTAAAATTGTAATAACGACGTATCAAATCAATACTTTTCATACAAAAATCAAAAACACAATATATATATATATATATATATATCAAAAAAACACATATTATATATTATTATCTATATTATATAATTATAGTATATTTGAAGGTATGAGGAGTGGAATAGCATTTCATGCTTACTTGTTTAAAATAAAAGATGATAGGGAAATAATGTGACCCATTTTTCCTCCTCTGTAATCCACTCATGATTAAAAACAATTAGAATTATTTTCCAGATTGAGCTTCAAAAATCATTTCCAGGCCGTTAAAAGATCGTTCCAGTTGATAAAATTTTATATATATATATATATATATATATTTGAAGGATATGAGTAGTGGAATAGCCTATTTCATGCTTCTTTTTAAATAAAGATGATAGGAAATAATGTGACCCATTTTTCCTCCTCTGTAATCACTATGATTGAAAACAATAGAATTAGTTTTTCCAGTATGAGTTCAAAATCATTTCCATGGTTAAAATCGTCCAGTGATAATTTTTTAAAATACAAAGAAATTAATTTTGAAATTCTTTAAGAAAAAAATATTTTGAGAAGACTATTGAGAAAACGTACTTTGTTTGAGAAAGATTTTTTAATTGTGGTTTGTGGACCATAATTTCTTTACCTTCTAGGAGTTCATGCAATGCTTCCTTATGGGGGCTTGGAGATAAAGTATTCGTGATCAAAGTTTGCTAATTCAGGATTATTTGAAATGGATTAAAGCCATCGGTTTTAAAAATTGTTTTGGAGTTTGTTTTGCTAGTAATTTTGGAGGGTATTTTGCTTCTAACATATACATATACGTATACATATACACATACACCAAAGAAAACAAACAAGTTGAATTTATAATTCTAGCTCTAACATTCCTCCATCTGTCACCAGTTCTGAATGGAGTTTGGTTTTAAGTTTGAGTAGCAAGTGAATGCTAATTTGATCAAGGAACGGGCAAAAAGTTAAAAAACTTCTAGCATTTATGTGCTCCATACTCCCCATGTTGAGTGACAACTTTAGAAATATGTTTTAGTACCAAGGCATTACCTTCGCCAGAGAAAAGTGTGAACTTTAGTATCTTGTAGCCTTTGGGAAAAGGGTATTAAGTTATCAACTCATTCGGGTACGGTTGCCTACAGATCAGTCCAGAAATGGATTGTACTTAAACTCCACCAAGGCATTCACTAAAGCTTTTACATCGTAGTCAAGGCAAGGAGTCCATGACATTGATGGAGTAAGATCAGTCGTTCCAAGGGGAATAATATTTTATGTTGCATCATATGTAAAAACACCACCAGCCTGGGGTGGTTTAACCTGTTGAGGTCCTCTAGTGGCAGTGGTAAGTGGCCTAACGGTCAGCTATGGAATTATAGAATTTGACATACAGTGGATTGGTCCGACCAGGCCAAGAGTTACAGGTCTGGTGGATGGCTAGAGCATCATCTGCTACAATCTCGTTCACCGATTTGGTTGTTGTTATTGATATGTTTTGGTGACATAATTACTATCTGATATCTTCACAAAATTCAAACAGTCCCATCGAGCACCAAAAAACGACCGTTTAACCTATAATCGATTGGTTTCTTGGACTTGGTTTCTATTAAACAGTGGAAAAGGTATGAAACTGCATGGACCTATAGGCATGGCACGTATAACCAAAATGAGAGAAAATGCAGTGGGCAAAGGTGAGGAAGAAGAGACTGAGAGAGAGGAATAAATATTGTAGAATTTAATAGAATTTTAGTGGACAACAATTAAAAATATATTTACCAACAAAATTAAGATTATTGGAATGAAACTCGCTAATAATTGTTCAATGCAAAACCAAACAATAATAAAATAATTTATTCATACAAGCAAATAACTAATTGACTCAAAAGGCTTAAATTTCTTTATCAAGTCCAAAGAGTTTGTAAACCTTATCCGGATCAAGTGTACGTAAATCCAAAGTAGAAAGAGATCGACGATTATTGTTGTGGTTAATGATATCTGTTATGGAGGCTTGTAAGAGAGTGAAGTTTTGGATGTTCTTTGTTGCATTTGGATGAGCTTCAGTTCTCACCGTTGAGCTTGATGCTTTGTTCGGCCAGAATGGTCGAATCGGAGAAAATGATGCCCTTTGACTTTCTTTTTCCCTTTCTCTTACTCCTTTTACACTTGAGGAATGGCTGCTGTTTCCAGTCTCTTGCCCACTCATGTTTGATTCTGAGTACCTCTCCACCTAATTTTTATCAACACACAAACACATATTAGTTTTATCACATATGGAAAAATGACAGAATGTAATTAAAAATAATAAAACTTGGAATAAAGAATGCTTCATATACTAAACAATTTCAATTGAAATCAATTTACCTCTTTAGAAGATTCAGTGTCTTCTTTGACCGGTTGAATACTGACACTCCTTCTTCCATGTCCTTCTTGACCTGTTCGAGAGGATTGCTTTTTCGATCTCCTACGCCTATAAGATGGAAAAAGTTATAGCCATTATACTTGTTCAAAAACTCAAACAAAATATCTATACACTTGGAATTGGAAAATTAACTGCTACATATAATGGAATCACAACTTACTTCTTCTTATCACTGGCTTGAGTTGGCTCATCCTCCTCCCTGTAGATTACTGGCAGTCCTGGAAGTTCGCAAGCCAATGGGCTAGAACTGAAAAACTGTCAGCAAAGGCAACTAATTAGAAAAGATGAATTGCAAAATGAAAATCAGGTTGGTACTGGAGTGTCTCCAGGAGTTAAAGGTCTAGAGCTTGAAGTTTCAGTCGGAATGAAATATACTTAGAAAAAAATGTCATAATATAACCATTAATTAATTAAATGTACTTACATGGCTTTGAAGAGCAGAAGCAGCAGAGCCACGGTATGCAGGGTTGAGAGCAAGAAGAGAAGTCAAAAGACCAAAGGAAGATTCAGGAAAATCCCTAAAAGCTTCTTGAAAACTGGGTTTATAATGTTGAGGAGGTCTAAAACTTGTAGATAATCTCATGATTTTCCAGTAATCTTCAGGTGGTGAACCACAAAGCTTAAAAATCCTGTGAAGTTGTTCAACTTCAGTTCTTCCAGGCATAATTGGTCTTCCAACGAACATTTCAGCTAATAAACAGCCTGCACTCCATAGATCAATGCCTACACCATAATCTGTAGACCCTAATAGCAATTCTGGAGCTCTATACCATAATGTTACTACTCTACTTGTAAGAGGTCTTTTTGGTTTTGGATTGAAGAAATTTGCTAGTCCAAAATCTGCAATTTTTAGCATTCCATTTTTGTCTATTAATAAGTTGGATGCTTTTATGTCTCTGTGTAAAATTCCTCTCTCATGGCAGTGTTGGAGACCTGAAAGTAGTTGATGCATATAGCTTTTAACCTGTAATAATTATAAAAAAAAAAAAATATATATTGGGTTAATAATCTAACATTCGAGGTTCTGTTCGTAGTGCATAAAAAGCTACATACTCCAACAAGTTCTACATTCGAAAGCTCGATTGAGTTTTATTTTTCATGCTCGAATTTGATTTGCTAAAGTTTATACTCATAGTGAAATACTCTAGATACTGGTTTGGAATTTTATAAAGTTAATTGATAATACCAAATAAAAATAGAATATAAATATATATTTGCTATTTGTGCAGAGAAATAAAGTTTACATGATAATAGAAAAACAATGTATTAAAAGAAGTAAAGAAAAAATAAATTACATTTATCTAAGTCTTTTCTTTATATATACTTGCTTCTTTGTGTATATGATATTGAAAACCTATATTTATATAACTAAATTAAATTAAATTAAACATGAAAAATTAAAAAAAAAACTCTATATTAATTAGCTATCCGATGAAATTAAATTGAAAAATATTATAATAGGATGTAATTTAATACATTAATTATGAAGTAAAGCATATGACTAAAATTGGAAAGCAAGTTAAATTTATTTTTGATAATTAAATAATTTAAATATTGAAAAGACTTATTAATGACTTTTTTTATAAATATAATAAATATTACCGATATATATTTTTTATCAATTCATATGTTTTCTCACCACAACTACACTTAATTAATTACTAGTATTTTTATGATATACGTTGTACGTTGATTATACTCATTTAATTTTTTATATCATTGTTCATTTTTACTTGTTATTTATACTCATTTTTATTTTTTAATATCAAATATTGATTATAAATTTTGTCTTATATTATTTTGATTTTTATAATGTTAAATAAAATTTCATATGAAATTAATGTGAATATAACGGTTAATTAATAAAACAACAGTGTGTATATACACACACTTCAGTTCAATTTACATATTTTTTATCTAAAATTCATAATAATTATATATGTACAATTTTACAGTATCACCTAATAAATACGTTTCAATTGTTATAGATATAATTATAATATATTATATATATTTTTAAAATTAAATTTTCAATTGTTCGTCGTACCACACACACATAATTTATTTTATTTAAAAATAAAAATAAGGCTTAATTATGTAACTTCTATTTGATATTTATTTTTAAATATATATATCCAGCCAAATTATAGAAACATAAAGAAATTTTTTTTTTCTTTTTTATCTCTAGTCTAAATAAAATACTTTAAATTATAATAAAAATAGAATGAAATATATAAAAAATAAATTTGAAAAAATTTTTTTGTTATCTCTATTCTAAATAAAAATACTTAAAATTATAATAAAAATAGAATTGATAAATACTATAAGAAAAATAAATTTTGAAAAAAAATAAAATATTAAAAATTTCTTTCAATGTCTCATTTATCTATATATAGTAACGTATTTTATATATATATTTATATCATATATTATATTATTTATTATAACAAATTAAATTTGAAAAGATAAAATTTTAAAATTTGAAAAGTACTTAATATCTATTTCTTATTTAAAAATAATTTTAAAAACATCATATCTTAATCAATTATAAAATATAATTTGTTTACGGTGGTAGACTTAAGTTTAAAATATTCAAATTCATCATGAATGCCTACCAAAAATATATTATTTATTTATTAACAAATAAATTTTGAAAAGATAAAATTTAAAATTTTGAAATGCTTAATTATCTATTTTTTTCTTATTTTAAAAATAATTTTAAAACATCATATCTAATCAATTAATAAAATATAATTTTTTTACGTGGTCATGACTAAGGTTATTTTAAAATATTCAAATTTCATCATGAATGCTATCAAAAATCTTATTATTTTCCATATTCTCACATTTATAAATAGTATTTTAAAAAATAATTTTAATAAATTATATCCAATCAACTAATAAAATATAATTTTATAATTGGTTATTGCTCAGGTTATTTTAGTACATTCAAATTTCATTAACGATGCTATTGGAAATCTCATTATTCCCCTCATCCCATATTTATGTACAGTATAGATTACTTATGAGTCACATCTAATTAAATTATCTTTAAATTTTTTGGGGCTACCATAGAAAACAATTTTAGAAAATAGAAATGCATATATAACTAAAAATTTATGGAAAAAATTTATAATATAAAGCGAAAAAATTTTATAGTAAAATAAAATATACATAACTATATATAACAAAAAAAAATTGAGGTTGAAGTGAAATTTATTTATGTTTGGGTAAAAAATACATATAGTATAAAATAATTTGAGAAAGCATCCGAGTATTATGGCCCCTATTAACCAGGCTTCAGGTCTGCCATTTTCTGCAAGTCAAAGGGTAATAATAACTTGACTCATTTACACTCGTAGAGACTTATAATGCAAGAAGTTAGAAGATGGAACCTGCGGTTCAGTGAGTCTCTGGCCTGGACGAGTGATGATTCTGGTAAGATCTGACTGCATGAAATCAAAGACAAGATACAGACTATATTGCATCCTTGATGTGGCTACTCCTTCAAGCTTTATAACGTTTGGATGATCTAGCTTCTGTAACATCATTATCTCTCTTGCCATAAACTTAATACTCTCTGACTCTGATGTGTCAAACCGAACTTTCTTCAAAGCAACAATTTTTCCTGTCTCTCTGTCTTTAGCTTTATACACATTGCTATAAGTTCCTTGCCCAACCTGCATAACCAATAATTCAAATCATATATTTGTTCATTTAGTGCATACAGTGAGAGTGCGTCGGTCCAACAGTAAAGTTATTTCATTTGTGATTTTAAAATTTTAAGTTCAAATCACAGATAAGAACATTATTTTATAAATCGGGTCAATCTTTTAGTAGGATTTTGCGTCGATAAATGCCCATAAAAAGTCAAAACATAAGTAAATAGAAATTAATCAAAACACTAACCTTAGCTAATTTATCATAAGAATCAGCACTTTTAGGAACCAAACCAGCCAAAACCTCTTTAGGAATATTATCAACAAGCCATTTAGGCCATCCATCAACAAGTTCATCTAAACCAATCTTCTTCAAAACATTTCTTTGTGATGCATTACCAACACCACCATTCTGTGACACTTCTTTACCAGCAAATTTCTCTCCACCTCCATTTTTATTATTAGTAGCACCATTAATCGCTACTACTCTCTTATTATTATTATTATTGGTATCTCCTTCTTGCCTAAACAACTTTCCCCTAGCTTCACCTCCATTAGGCCTACCAATATATCCTCTTTCTTGTTTCAACTTATCTAGGCTTCTTCGATTGAAAGGAGAAGATAGAATTGTTGAAGGCTTACCAAAACAACAACCCATCTTTCAAAATCTTGGAATTTTGGCAGAGAATCAAAGCTGTGGAGATTGCTTGGTGACATAGTAGAGATAAATGGAGAAATGAAATGGGAACTAAGTTTTGTAATAAGGGAAAGGCACTGTGTTATTTGATCCTTTTACAAGAAAATTGAAGCAAAGATTAGAGTTTGCCGTCCTTTTTTGGCCGGCTATTTTTTGGAGTTTTGCTGGATTGATGAAACTTCCGGTGATTGTTGTCTTTGTTTCTCCATTATCAATGACTTGGGCTATGTTATCAATGATATAAATATAATTACTAAGGGCATGTTTGGCTGAATGGTTTACAATTAGCTATTGGCAACTAGCGGTCAATGATGAACTGCATGCGACCGGCCACAAACAAATAGAAAAACTTTTGTTTCCAATGTATCAAATATCAATTTACTCATGAATCTTCAATTCTTTTTCCTTTTTTTTTTTCTTTTTAAGTTTGTGCATAATTTTAGATCTTTTGGAAGTTGGAGGCAAATGGTTGCAGTTGCTCTTTCCTTTGTTTCTCAGAAAGACAGTTTGCAATTCAATTCAGCTTAAGCGAAATAAGTAAATAATATATGTTGCATTAGCAAGTGAAGTTCAAGTTCAGAACTTCAAATATACATGTTAGAAATAAGAGCATCCAGAGCTGCCAGTTTCATCGCACTAAGGCAATACCTCTACATAAAGCAACATAAGCATATGACTATAATCAATATCAACGGGAAACGCAATTTTCTCCCTTTCGGCCCTCAAAATTAGGTCCTGTGTATTAAGCAAAGGTATCCTGCCGTTTGCAATTCTTCCGATTGCATGCAGAATTACTACTAAATAAATTTGAACATATAAAACAGTTCGAAAATTGACACTCCCTGTTGCATCTACCAGGACATCAGGTGTTAGCTTATTCATTTCACTTTCCATCTCCTGTATGTCCCAACTTCAATATTCAATCTCCAGAAGAGTTGCAATGGAAACAGTCTGCTAACTAATGATTTTGCTGAAGCTTAAACTGTCACCACTAATAATCTTTCTAGAAGAAGATAGGCCAAGATCAAATGGTCCCAAAGAATCCGTCTGCGTCATGACACCAGTAATAAATTAGTATGAAATTATTAATGTGGAGAAAAAATGAGACCACAGTAACTATTGTTATAAATTCAAGTACCCATTTGATTCCTGACAGCCCAAGGCTGCTTTCATCATTGTAAATTCGAGAACAAAGTGACAAATCTGTTTCAGATTCTTGACAGCCATGGCCTTGCGGAATGCCAGATTGGAAGTTGACCTACAAACAAAGAAACAAGAATGCTTGATGAGCTGATTAAAAACCTTGGTCTTGAGAAGCATTCATAGCATAGTATCAACTAGTTAAAATAACTTTTTACTGGGAACTAATAACCTAGAAAACAATCCTGCAGAAGTGCTGAATTAGGAGAAAAATAAATAATATATCAAAAATCAGAGCTTTGATGTACATAAAATCTTGAGATTCCGATGCGGTATTCACATTAAACACCATGGTTAGTACATTACGAGCAAAACCAGTGTAAGATTATGCCCAATAACTACATCAATGAGCAATAATAAATTTCAGAACCTTTTGAGTAACAATTAAGTCACAGCAAATTATTGAGCAAACCTCACTGGTATCTGGATATTTAGTTGACTTGGAGACAGTATCCTGGCTGCAGGTACGAGAATAAGCACTTCCACCGACAGCAAGAGCATCTTTGCACAAGGAAGAGACTTTTTGAAAAGGAAATGCATGGCAAGTGTCTTCAGCATCCAAAATGGACGAACTTGAAACATGAGAAGGCAGCCTTGTAGCTTGGGAATGATTTACTTGGGACATGATAAAAGCATCAAGTGAATCAGAGATTAACTGAGATGGCTGCAAGGCTGCACTAATACCAGCTGATTTTGGATCACAATTATTGAACTTGCCCTGCAAGGATGCTTCAGATAGCAGGCCTCCAATACTTATATTTGTTAGACTATCATCCCATGGATATGAGTTTCCTGTGCAGACAGGCATCTTCCCTTCATTGCACTATACAGATCCCAATAAGCAAGTTTAGAAAAGCATAAATTTTAGAAGCATATTCCAACTAGCACCCATATAGAAGCATAAGTAGCCTAAGTTTCTCACAAGGGTTACTTCAAAGGCGATATGTATAAATTACAAATAAATTAAATTACTTTTGGCAATCAAATCACATAATTGTCCCAACAACTTTTACAAATCTTAAAATGCACATTCTAAATCATTCTTACTTAGAGTCCCAACAACAACTCTTTGCCTGTTACCTCAATTTGTTTATTAACATCGCAAACCTTCTGCATGCCTTTAGATTGCAAAGAAGCCTTGAGGGGAGTTGATGTTGAAGGCACGCTGGATGATATATCTTTACAATCTGAGAGCCAGCCATACCTTAATAATGGATTAAGTCAGAATTTTTAATAATTAATAAATTCCAAAAAATATAAGAGCAATTGATCATGCCCAAGACCTTAAGCGGAAGATAGAAGGGCTTCCAATAGCCACATGGACATCTCTTGCAGTGAGATTGCTATCATTCAATGTCCATCTACAACTGGCTAAATCTTCAGTTAAAGTGTTTGGGAAAAGAATGGGCTCCCCAATAGCAATGCTTGAACCACCCCACTTGCAATTCAGGTGCTTAAGCACAGAAGACATCTTCTTCCGTGAGCTTAGAGTCAGTTCCAAGTATGGATTATATCCATCCTGTGCGGAAAACCAAATTTCACATGCATAATCATCTTATAGCGAATTTCTAATTGTCCTATAAGGACTTTCCATCTTTTCCAATGCCAAATATTTCATAATTTTACCTTTTCCAATCCCATGCGAGTGACTTCATCCAATGGGAAAAGCTGCAACTTGATCTTTGCAGAAGTTTTTGGAGTTGGTTCTGGATCTTGCTCTGGCCTAGGCAATACCTGTGTTTTTTCTGCTGAAGATTTACTTTTGTCTAAAAGAAGTGGACACAATGCTTCAGCTGTAACAGAAGGTGAAGAATGCTTGGCTTTTTCAACCAAAAGTTCTTCACTTTTCCCTAATAGATAGAATGTTCATAAGCAGAATGCATGATTACATATAAATTAGTAGAACAGCATGCAAAAAAAGGACTAACAAGCACCAATAAGTTTACAAATATAAACTTCAAAATTTTCAAACAAATGAAGCGATTTAATAATTTGTTAAACCTGCTGGTTTGAGACAGCGCCCCCTAGTTCTGTTAGTAGATTTACCAACTTGAGTCTGACCTGCACCCACTCTAAGCTTTGTGGTAGTTTCAACTACCTTTGACGTTCGCTTCTTAGCAATTCTCATGGAAGTCTAGAGATCCTGCAAATTCTGAAGACGGTAAAAGCTGACTTTATCATTATTCTCGCAATATAATCCTTTAGAGACGAGTTTCTGCAAGATTGAAGACTAAAGCATAAATAAACATTTGCATCACAAACATTCCAAAACCTTGCTTCTGCAGTTGTTCGTTGTCATAGAGTCAAGCACCACATGCACAATTTATCACAACCATGAAGAATGAAATGTCAAAGAACAAGCATTTGTACAACTAATGATTTCTTTTACAAGCTTGTAACAGCCGAATAAAGCTTTCATTGGCGAAATCCCAAAAGAAAACAAAAATTTTCAAATCAGAAATTAGCAGTGTTCATTACAAGTAAGGTCATTCAATTACAGTATGGTCACTAATCTTCAATTCGCATCAGCAAAATTATTCAATTTTTTTTCATTACAATCATTATTACCTAATTTTTATAAAGATTTAACTAAAATTTGTATCTAAAGATTACGGTCAAACGAAGTTATACTTTTACCAAAATCTAGCCACTAAGAATCATATGAGGTAAGAGCTAAAAAAGTTTCGCCATATTGTTTATACAAATTTAAGTTCAATTTCGATGACATAGTCCATAGGTGAAATTAAATTCAAATAGCATGTCCCTGCAATCATGGATTGTAAGAGCTTGCAAAGCCAGTCCAAAAGCTAGCTAAATCTATCTACACACATACGTTCACATACATATATATAAGCAATTGCCTTAAAAATCCTAAGGTTAGTGTTTAATCAAAGGGAAACTACTGAAAATCAGAGAACTATCAGTTATCAAACAGTTCCATCACTCTAACAAAAGATGAGAAAAGTGACCCAAAACTTAAATTTTTTTTTTTTCAATTCTGAGACAATTCAAACGAAAAGGAAGAGAAATTTTAGTATTGAATTGAAAACTTACACTAAATAAAATCTCTACACAAAACTGCTACCGTCAAATTAGGGTTCCTCCAAAAGAGAAAACAGAGGAAAAACAAATGAGAATTCTGATTGTAATCTAAATTAACCAGTCAACTAACTGAATCAATTTCAAGTTATGAATACTCTTATACCTGAATCAAAAACCTCAAAAAAGAGACAGAGAAGCCAGAGAGGAAGACGATAGAGATTTGAAATCAGACCAGAAAAGCATGAAAATTTGTTGGCGGGAATAAGTTTTTTGCCGAAATATTGTTGCTTTGCTGACGTATGCTAGTGGTTTGCGGACTTGGGCTTGTTAATATACGGTATACCTCGTCAAATATTGGGCCAGCCGGATTTAATCAGGACCCGAATTGGCTCCATTTTTATGCACATGGATTTAGCCATTCAGAACCCTCCGCCGCCCGCGTTCTCCTTGACTTTGATTAAGAAACCTTATTTTCACACTTTCATAAATTTATCACCCGAAGTTTATAATTTTTCCAATTTTATCCTAATTTGAATAATATTTCATAAAATTGAAAATTGTGAAAAATGTTTGACAGCTGAATTTCAAGTATTTAATAACGTAAGAATGACATATTTAAATTGAAAAGTTACCCAGATGTCCAATATTTTAATTATTTTATTTAGGCAAATCGGAAGTTAAAAATTTTAACTATCATTTTAAGTGAATTTTAATTTAATTGAATTTTTTAAGTGGTACATAGATAATTGTGATCTTATTGATAATTTTAATTTAATTATTAAAATATTTCATTAGTATGATGAAATAAAAAATTTATAAATTGAAAGAGTTACTTGTTATGAATTTGAATATAGATACTAGATACGAAACGAATTTAAATATAGATACGAGATACCAGACACAATATGAACGTAATCACATTATTATGAATTTTTTTAAAAGATAAAATTTTATATGTGTATTAGACATATTTTGGGAAAATATTTACCATGATATTAAAAATTTGACATTAATATATCTAATAAATTAAAAATATAGCTTTTTTTCTGGCCTATAATTATTAAGGAATGAGAAATAAAGGGAAAAAAAAAAAAAAAAAAAAAAAAAGAAAAAAAACCACAACTCACTACAATTATGGATACATGGAACATGGTGAGTATTTTCTAATCTCACATCAAATCAGCATGAACTTATAAATCCATAACACCTCTTATTCCACCATAACTTTCAATGTCAGGAATACATCAAGCTAGTACCATCTTAAACCTCGTTGCCTAAATTCTTGAAAGAAAAAATATTGTGGAATCTTAAAGTTTTAGGAAAAAGATCGACTTTAGAGGGTGCGAGCGCCGCGTGAACTGTGAGCAGCATAGTCAATCTTCTGATATGAATAATTTTATTTTTACTTCCCCAGCTTAGATATCGAGTAAGAAATACATATATTTGAATGCTTTTTTTAGATAAATTATTGTTGCCAGCGCTTTGTGGGTAGACGGCATGTGGTTTAAAGAACTAAAAATACGGAGGCCAGACACGCAACCTCACAGGAGAAATAGTGGTTATATGGCTATTGTATCGACTGAGGCAGTGAAAAAAAAAAAAAAAAAACACAATCACTACAATTATATACATGGAACATGTGAGTATTTCTAATCTCACATCAAATCAGCATGACTTATTAAATCCATAAACCTCTTATTCAGCCAATAATTCAAGGAATACATATAACTTAACCTCTGCACTTTGAAAAAAAATATTGTGGAATCTTAAATTTTAAAATCAACTTTAAAGCACCCTAAACTTCATTTTGTATAATAATTTTATACTTCCTTACAGTAAAAACAATAATTTTTAAAATTTTTGACTTTTATACACAAAATACTGAATTGGTATATGGCTAATATAATTTTAAATAATAATTTTTACATTTTTCAATTATCTAATAAGTATTTAATTAAACTAATTTTATAAGTTGAGGTGATTTATATGTTAAAAAAAATATTTAACATGTTTAATTTTATAAATTGAAATATTTAATAAATCAGAGTGAAAATTGAGGATACTAAAAAAAGTTTTGTAAAAACAGAGATGAATTTATTTATTGAATCCTGCATAATTATCTCATTTTGCCAGGTCACTGCATCCTTTCTTATCCCCACATCCAATGAGTTACACTTTTTTGATTGTTTATATTTTACCTGTTAATTCTCTATTGTAAACATATCCAAATGTTCCCAAATTATTATTCCAAAAGGGAAGATTAATGACCGTCCATATTATTGTTTCTAGAAGATTAAGTAAATTGAACTTGCTGGGGATTTCAACAAAACCCCATAATGTCAATGGCCATAATGATTGGCTTTCAAATAAAAAATTAAGTGTAGAAAGAACCATCTTCAATTAACAACTACATCAAAGAAATAAAAGATAGGTAATAATCCTATCTTGAATAGATTAGATGATGAAGTGGTACCCATATCTACTTTTCTCTTCTAAGAATAATGTCAAAGAAGTGTCAAAATTTGCAACCTTCGTATTATTATTATTTTTCTTTTGGGAGACAAAGAAGCCCAAGTATGCATATACTATTTGGCTTTGGCCAATATCCTATTATGCAGCAAGAATCCACTAGCTATTTAATGGCATTCTACCAAATTTGAATAGGTATGTAGTAAAGATGACAATGGTTCAAATTATCTACCAAGTAGACAGTTAGAGCAAGCAATTCTCGATTTCTAACCGAACTAAATCGACTTTATTTCAATGGAATTCAGATAGTTATTTTAGAATTCAGTTACCGATCAGTTTTAGTATATAAAACTACTTGGTTTTCGATTTTTAGTTTAGTTGCCATATATAACTACTCGAATTAAAAATAGCTTATTTTAGTTTAGGATAATCAAACCAAATCGATTTAATTTGATTTGGATCAATTATTATACTATTTAGTTTCAGGATTTGGATACCATACAAACATATTCAGATGCACACCAAGGTATAGTCTAGTGGTAAGTGCATATACGGTCTGACAATAGATCTAAGTTCGAATTCCCTTTCGCAATACTCAAAAAAATATATATATATATTCGAATAAACTGAAATGGAGCTAATTTGATACTAATTCGGTTTAGTTAGATTTGGTTAACTGAATGTTCAATCGAATCCCCTTCCGCAATACTCAAAACAAAATATATATATTCGAATAAACTGAAATCGAGCTAATTTGATACTAATTCGGTTTAGTTAGATTTGGTTAACTGAATGTTCAATCGAATCCCCTTCCGCAATACTCAAAACAAAATATATATATTCGAATAAACTGAAATCGAGCTAATTTGATACTAATTCGGTTTAGTTAATACTCAAAACAAAATATATATATTCGAATAAACTGAAATCGAGCTAATTTGATACTAATTCGGTTTAGTTAGATTTGGTTAACTGAATGTTCAATCGAATCCCCTTCCGCAATACTCAAAACAAAATATATATATTCGAATAAACTGAAATCGAGCTAATTTGATACTAATTCGGTTTAGTTAGATTTGGTTAACTGAATGTTCAATCGAATCCCCTTCCGCAATACTCAAAACAAAATATATATATTCGAATAAACTGAAATCGAGCTAATTTGATACTAATTCGGTTTAGTTAGATTTGGTTAACTGAATGTTCAATCTTGGAAAAGTACGAGAAGTATGACCTATAATTAGTGTGTGAATGTTTCCCAAATACCCATAATTTTTTCTTTTTTCCCCTCTAAAAATGGATTATTTGTTATTGATTCACATTCATTCATGATTTATTTTTAAGAGAAACATTTACCCATAAATATTTGTATAGAGATATATATAAAATAAACTAATAATATTACACAAATGTAAGATATAAGATGAGTGGAGATCAAACCCTTGTAAAAAGTATAAAATGTAAGACCAATAATTGTTATAAGAGTCTCCCAAATATGTTATTCAAAATACATTCTATAAATATTGAGAAATTTTGTTATTCATACGTTGCATAATTCTGTTGCTATTAATTTATATTTGCCAATGAATATTTACTACACAATACTAACATTGAATTTGAATTTTATAGTGTATGAGATTAAAGAGAGTGTTTCTTTTTTTTTTTCTTTTGCAAACCCTATAATGCGCAGCCAAGCCACGCCCTGCATGTCCCAACTGAGAACCTCTAGAACATCCATAGGACGGTCCTGCAACACAAAACTACCAATATTTCCAAACACAGCAAGATTCGCAAGAATAACCACAGCCTGATTAGCTTCCCTAAAGCAATGTCTAATGACAATCAGTCATGAGCAATGAAGGAGGTGCTCAATACGCAGCAGAACATTAGTAAACCTGCGATGAGTGTCAATTTCAGAGGAAATAAGGTGCTTATGAATCCATTTCCACCTCTAATTTTTGAAACCCCATCTCCAAAGCAAGATTTAATCGAAAGCATAGGGCCTGTAATTCAGCCTCCATAGAAGAACAGATCCCCAACCGGCCTGTGTAACCAATCACCTATCTCCCCAAATGATCCCTGAAAAGAGAGTGTTTCTTTTTACTTATAAATTGGTTAAATATAAATTTTAAAAAAAAATATTTAGTTTGGTTCAAAAATTAAAGGAAAAAGAATTGTTTTGTCCCTGAAGTTTTACAAAATTAATTAACTTATCCTCACATTTTTGTATATTAAATATTTAGTCCTCCGAGATTTGATTCCATCTTATTAGATGGTCTTTTCATCTAAAATCAACTCTTTTTTTCGGCTAATTGAAACAAAAAAACTAAGAAAGAGGAGAGAAAGATATTTTAAATTGACAAGTAGCAACCTTTATAAAACCTGTAATTGTTCATATTCAAGAAATCCATTTTACATGAACTCCTCATCGCCAACAACTGCAGAAAGACCATTATCAACAACCACAAAAATTCCACAAATTGCGTAGTCATTGTAGCTATTGCCACAACTAACAAAAGAGCACCAAAAGAAAGTAGCATATACAACATCGTAATAGACATTGCAAGGTGCCATTAAACTTTGCATATGCAAATTGTAGAAGCAATTTCTCTTTGATTCTTCTCCTTCTCATCAAGATCTAGACCCTCAATCAATGGCACCGACTAAAAGGGAAGTATGATTGTATTTGTATCTTAATACGTTACACAGAGGCTTGTTAAATACAAGAGAAATAGAAGTAGATAAGGACTGCAAAACTAACTCTATCTAAAATACAGATAGTATTTATAAAATACAACAAACAGACTTGTATACTTATCTC